TCTTTTTTGACGCCTTCTCAGGATCTCAGGACATAATTCTTTGACAAAGTTATTTAGGGACTGACGCTTAACATTTTAAGATATTTTTAATATATCGACGCTACCATTCCTTCTCAACTAATTTTATGTATGAAAGTCTGCCATTCTTCTTTAGGAAACTAATGCGTCTTGACCTTTTGACAATGTCACTAAGACTAAATAACACAAATCTGAAATATATCCTATAGGACATAAGTAAGAGATGACCATTTTGTTGCTAATGTCTGGTCTATTACTATTACTTAAATGTCTTTGTGCAATATGGTGTGTGTGTGTGTATGGTACCAACGGATAGGTTAGTCATTTCTGCTAACATCTTAATTCTTACTCGTGCATTTTCGAATGCTAATTATTGAAAAACTTCAATAATTTTCACATTTCTGTAGCCGCTGATTGGCTCACCTGGCGGGGGTCATATTCCATCCTTTCCCTGCCTCTTTTGAATTCACTTGACCACTTCTGTGTGATTGACATTGAAGGAGCAGAGTCTTGGTAAACAGCCACCATTTCTTAATGAATGTTTTTGGAGTTTTTCCTTATTTAGTGAAAAATTTAACCACCGCACGGTGTTCGATTTTTTCATCATTTACAAATCAGCCATTCCTGTCGTCTTTGACTGAAGGTTACATAAGAAGTAATGAAGTTATCAAGACAAAATTTCATATCATCTCAGGTAGTGTCGCTAATGATTTTTTTTAATTACCCACATTATTAGCAAATGACCCAAATACCGAGAATACATTGAACGCCTCTCGTAGTATTCGCTTGTTGCCTATTCCAAAATTACTCGAATTTTTAACGTATCCATGATGACGAAAAAGATTTAAAGGCAATGAAAACATAAGGCTAATCAATAAACAAATGCTTAATTTTGAAGAAAGAATTCCGTTTGCAAAATAAAATTAATTTGAAAATAGAATTCTTAGCCAAACTTTGATAACCAACTGATGTCGAAAAAACTACTTTAAAATGCTGGACCGAATTGAAGGGTGACAAAGAACACCAATATCAAAGGATATGGACTCTGCGATCATCAACTAGCCTGCCCAGCTAGGTAACTATATACTAATCTTAAAAATAATACATATTGGTGCATTCTAAACAATGCACCAAACATTTAAAAAAATGCTTATATCTAGCAGTGGCATCGGGTTTCAGTATGAATTGGTTTCTTTGTCGCGTGTTCTTGCTGTTTCGCATCACCTTACTTGTCCCTTTTGCTTCTCCTCTTTTTTAAGACTTGTGTGGTCTATAAGCGAAATTATGATCGCCGGATTCGTCGCCAAGCCTTCAATAATAGTACGCCTTTGCAAAAACACTACGCGCCGATTGCGGAGCTGCGTTGTATAAACAGGGAAGCACGGCTTATCAGCCGAGTGGCCCTGTCCACAGTTCACGCAGGTCGATGGCTTGTCTTTCGGGTGCGGAAAGTTTTTGGCTGCGTGTTTTTCACCGCAGCACACACACGCTCGTTTAATGGCAGCAGAATGAAATGAATTGTGGAACTTCTACACTTGTGCTATTGTGTCATTTCCTTTTTTGCCCTCCAGGATTCTATTTTTACGTTGGTAATCAGAAGCAGCCTCGATGTCCAAGAGTTGTTGGGTGTTTCTTTTTATACTATACTAAGCCAGAGCTTAACTACAATCCCACCTGATGGTAAGTGGTGATGTAGCCTAAGATGGTGAAGCGCACTGACTTAACAAAAGCTTATTCACTCTTGACTTAAGGACACCCACATTGTAATCGAATGGAAACAGATGCTGGCAATGGTGGAATGGAGAGGGAGGAATTAAATTATACAATTCCTGCGCACACTCTTAGAAATGCATCCTATAGAAAACCGAAAGGCTGGCTACTTTGAGCCTGTGTTCGAGGCTGTTAAGATTGATTTTAACCAAATTTCGGCCACCAATAAGCCTCTTAGTACACTTTTCCATTGAGCCCAAAGCTGCTATGTGGCATTTTGCAACACCAGCTCATATATGGCAGCAATACTCCAAGCACGAGCGGACTTGCGTTTTATATAGTAATCAGCTGTCCCGGTGTGAAGTATCGCCGCACCTTTGCAAGGACTCCTAGTTTCCTTGCAACTGCTTATCCCCTGGTAATCGTTCAACTGCGCGTAGCGCAACCCCGTCTGCCCGCCGCGCGTTTGTCTTGCGGATGTATTCCGGCTGATGACTGAGCTCCCTAAAAACAAGCTCTTCGGTGTCTGTCCCCTCCGAGTGCCTGCGAATCGCCACTTTCATTCTCTCTCACACACTCTTTTCGACTGATATCGCGTATGAAAATCATTCGACTTTTTTTGGTGGCTGTGCTGATATACGTGGCAGAGCCATGCTACAGCTATATTATGGTTGTAACACGAATGGGTCGCCTGGACCAGTGAACCACGCTCTCACAGAATACCAGCTTAATGCTGCTGTGTTTCGAAAGGTGAGAGTAGAGAATCATATATCCTTTTTACTGGAAACGAGGCATTCCATCCCAGTCCTCAAGGGTGGCAACACATCTGCTTTTTAATTCTTAATCGAGGAGAGAAGATGTAGATGTCTATGAACCACAACATCCACGAATAATTGGGCAATTATGCAAATATAAGGGGAGAACACATCGGATTATTAATCGTCTTTAGTGTTTCTTCTGTTTTTGTGCTAATGCCACTTCCTTACAAGGCGAAGCGTGAGCTTTGGCGCCTGAATAACCTTATGTTCTGTCAGTATTTTATATATGGCCCCCATCGATTGTATGGTTGTATGGTTGGGCCGGGTTTTCTTGGTAGGCCTTTATCAACCGAGGCCGGGCGTGGGGCTTTCTCCGTGGAGCTCGTAATTTTGCAGGAGTCATAATTCCGGGATCCGAGGCATTATCTTGTCTATATATCTCACGACTACCCCAGGAGGGTACCAGCACCCCTGGAGAATCCCTCGCTGATCATCCACGACCAAGCTACTCCACTCCTGAGCGTGGGTGCTCAGGCTGTCCCGCGTATTCTGGTAGGGCAAAATTCCGCTCGCGACTAATACTGCTCGGGGCAAGCGCAGCAATAAGACCAAGCCCCTGTCACGCTATCCGTGAATTTTTATAACATCAGGGGACTTCATTCCAACCTTAACGTTGTCCACTACCATCTAGAGACGCTAAAGCAGGCCTTGCTCTTTTCAAACGAGACTCAGGTGTCCCCTCTGCCTGATACTTCAAATTTCTCCTACCCGGGGTACAAATTAGAAACATTCCTTTGTGCCCCGGGCTGGAGTTTGCGTATACATCGGAGAGGACATCTGTTTTCAACGCCTCGGAAGTCTTCAAGATACGGACCTGTCCCTCCTATGGCAACGCGTAGAGAGCGACGACCATCCCCGTGTCTACGGGTGCCTCTATAGGTCCCACAGCGGTAATGCCGAAACAGACCGACTCATCAACCACGTCCAAATGGCTACAGATTCTTTGTTACAGGGGATCCCATCCGCAGAGATCGTCATCCTTGGCGATTTTAACGCCCACCATGCCGAAAAGCTCGGTTAACGTTCAACCGATCATGCGGGGAGATCTGTTTATGACTATGCTTTGGCATATAGTCTTACACAGCTGGTTACTTCGTCTACGCGGATTCCAGACGTGGAGGATCATGCACCTTGTTGGACCTTCTGCTGACCTCTCATCCGGACGGATATTAGGTTTCTGTCGACACTCCTTTAGGCTCATCGGATCATTGCCTTGTCCGGAGTGTGGTGCCACTCACACTAACATCGCGGTTGCATTCTGCAGGCTGCCGTAGTGTTTGGCACTATAGGTCGGCCGATTGGGATAGGATGCGGTCTTTTTTGTACCCTACCCTTGGGGGCGGGTTTGCTTCTCGCCGGAAGATCCCAGTGTTGTTGCTGATTCTGTTGCTGATGTGGTACTTCAGGGTATGGAACTTTTTATATGGAATAAAAAGTTCCATACCCATATGTATGTACTGTTCCATACTGCAGAAGACATAAGTTTGGGCGTTTACCGCTAAAAAGAACCCCTTTGTCGTATCTCCTCAGTTTGAAGGTACACCCCTTACTGCCTCAGCTAGCATCGGAATCTTCGACGTCGACATATCGAATAGTGTGCAGATTCGTGATCACTTGGAAGGGAAGGCCAAATTGGCCTCTAAAAAGCTTGGCGTGCTCAGCAGAGCTAGACAGTTTCATGCCGACACATCGCTTGCAACTTTACGAAGTGCAAGTTCGGCCTCACATGGAATACTGTTCTCATCTCTGGGCCGGGGCCCACCAGTGCCAGCTCCTTCCACTTGACCGCATCCAGCGCAGAGCGGTTTGAATTGGCAAAAACCGAGTTCTTTCAGATCGGCTGATACACTGGCGATGCGTAGGGATGTTGCATCCCTTTGCATTTTCTATCGAATCTACCACGAGGAGTGCTCTGAGGAATTGTTTGGATTCATTCAAGCCGCCAAGTTTCTTGAACGCACATTGCGTTAAAATTCACAATACCATCCTCACGATCTGGATACTTGGCTGTCCATGACTGCATTTTACTAGGAGTTTTCTTCCTTGTACAACTTCTCTGTGGAGTTGTTTCCCTGGTATTGTGGTTGTTCATGGGCAGCTGTAGTCACTTACCTTCAGGTGAGCCACATGCTAGTTTGCCCCCATTTCTATAAAAAAAAATTTGAGTGAAATTGAGGTGTTTTATGGGCAGCTGTACACGTCATCTTTGGAGCCACACGCAAGTGTGAGTAACAAATTTTCAGGTCTAGTTGGATCATAATAATTCCCCAAGACCTCGATGTTACTTCTAATAGAAATAAAACAATCAGCATTGATCCTATCATACAAGCAAAACATAGGTTTTAGATAGGTAAAGTTGAGTTATAAATAATTATTGTGTTTATAGATATATTTAAAAAACCATTATTGTATACGCAAAACTCAAAAGTGCATCATTTAAAGAAAAGACCTTACTTTGTAATCTGTCAATCCTATTTGCAGCAGCACTGCTCTGTTTGTTAGAGTCAACCACATCTTTGTCAAGACGATCAGCTTCATTTTTGGACAGTTGACTTAACTTTATTTCTTGTTCTAATTGCTGTTTCTGAGCAAATAGAAGACGCTAGAGAAAAAAAACAAATAGTTATTAATTATTTTCAATTATCGTCAAATATCTTCCTCCCATTATATTTCTCTAAAAATCAATATACAAAAGCAAATTGCAAAAATAAAAAAAAAATTAATAAAAATTTAAGTTAAAATAAGTAGCTAAAGACAATAGTTGGAAAAGATCTGAACAATGTAATCTCACTGTATTCTCTTGATATTCAGTATGTACATGCTCCTTATATTTATTAAGGTCGTAGCGCTTTTGAAGCTGTAAAGTAAGTGCTTCTTTCAAACTTTGTATTTCATTTTGCCTAAAAGAAAACAGTTTAAGGGAGAGGTACTGTTAGTGATTAAGTAAACTTATTTACATTAAAGAAGCCGCAGTTTATAATACCTAGCTAATAAAAGTGTTTCTAAATTACTGTTATCAGGGTCAGCCAAAGGAATTCTTGTTCCTTGATTCCATCCAAGTTCTTCAAGTAATTGGGCCATATAACCTGGTATTTTTCCGGACTCGTTCATTCTTAAAGACATAAAAAACGGTTAATATATAAAATAAAAACCTCGAAGTAAATATTGTTTATTGTTTTGTTCATTTATCGAACAAACAAATAAATGTCAATGTCAAGTAATCAAGAATCAAGACGTTTGAAAATCAAAACAAACATTTTCTATTAAGATTTTTGGCTTGGATACTTGTTCTTTAAGCCATGTCTTCATTTTTATCTCAGTATCAAGTGATAATAATCCTTTATAGTACAATGCTTCACAATATGTTAATGGGTCATTCTACCGTGAGGTGAAATAAAATAAATGAAAATAAAAATTAACGTTTTGTTTATTTATGAAATAAAAATATTTTTATTTGTATTTAAGGAACGTGTAAAAAATAATGACATAGTTAAATATACTAAGAAATTTATAAAAAATAGCTTTTTCCGTTTTTAACAATAGACAGAAGTGACCACGAAATCGACAGGAATGAACATTTTTGGCGTCGAAGTCTTAAACTTAATAACATAACATCAACACAAATTTCTAACAACAAATAATTAATAATATCAGTTTTGTAATTATTCTGGACACATATTAACTAATCAAAGAAGTACAATAAAAAATAAACAAAAATAGACAACATAAGTGACCTCATTTCTGTCGATTATTTAAAAGATTGTTTCGTCACTTGAGGACGATAATATACGAAGTTGATTCCAATACCAATACAATCCCATTCCAATCCAATCCAATACAATATCCATTCAAGATCAAAACTTGTCTTGGATGGATATTGTAGATGGAATCATCAGTTGCAAAAAAACTTCAATCAAAACGATTCTCTTCATCGTTTTCATCCCTTCTAGATTCAGCGTTGTCGCAGATTAATAATGTCATCACTTTCTTCGTCATTTCCGTAGCACACCTCGTAGAAATTTAATATATTATAAGTATTCTGGGTATAAGAGTCGAGGCTGGCGATAACGAACGCAAACTAAGATGATCCTTATTTCTTGAAACTAGTGAGTCCTGGAGGGTTGGATTAGGCAAAGGAGATTTCTACAGTGACTCTGGTGAACCAGTAACAACATCTTCTGTTTTTTTTTTGTTAAAAAGATGATGGAATGGTGATGGAAACATATTTCATCAGACCCGTAATCAGTTATATGGCGTATAAACAAAGTACCCTTGAACCTTAATGTGGTACCTTTATTCGAAATGGCAGACGTACGATCGCAATGTGCCTCAACAACAGGTAATATTTGGATATTTTTTTAAAGAATAGGGTGACAAACGAGCACACAGTCCACTTGATGGTAAGTGATTGCTGTGGCCTATAGACATCTACATTTATCCTCATTCGCGAATCAAAATGCAGATGCGTTGTCACCCGTGAGGACTAAGATGGAATGCCTCTTTTCTGGTAAAAAGGGTCTCTGGTTCTCTACACTCACCATACGAAACGCAGCAGTGTTAATCCGCTATTTCCTTCCCCGGTCGAGCCGATTCATTCGTGTTACAACTATACTACTAATATAGCTGCAGCATGGCTCTACTACGTATAATATGCAAGTCCCTTGCAAACACGTAATTAATGATTCGCAATCAGAGACGTATCACCCAACTACTACTTGAGCATCTCCTGTTCTCTTATAGCTAGCTAAACAGTTTTCAAGTAGCAAAATCCTCTCTCTTAAATATTTCTTTTCAGCTCTTATTTTTCTTCTATTTTTCTCTGCATTCTGCTAGCCCATGACATTTTTTAAAGATCTGGAGCTTTGCGATACTGATTATAAAGGCGGTGTTTCATTTGTAAGTCTAATGTCAGTTTATCTGAGTTCCTTTTCTTTTCACGGTGTTTTCGAGTAAAAGAATGCCGTTCTTTTCATACTCGTTTTTGTAGTTTTGGAGTCAGATTATTGATACCTTTATATATTTTACTAATCCCTACTCTTTCCTATTTTTGTAGTTTTCCCAACTAACCTACTATAGTATTACTGCCTACGCCGATCCTTCTTCTCTTTGTCTGTTAACATCCTTTTAACCACCTATAGTGTGGTGGTAGTAGTAACTATAGTTTTGAAGATTTCGTGATTACTCAGTCAAAATGTGATTTAGTAGTATTTTAAAGTTTGATAGAATTTATGTCAGATCCTTGAACTATAACAAAATTTTGTCGTAAACTTTATATAATAAAATTAAATATAAATAACAATACATTAATATATCCTATTAAAAGAATAATATACGAATTAGATAGTTATTTTTACGTCTTTTATAAATTCATAACAGCTACTTCAACACAAAATATAAAACACACCTTTTTTCTCAAATTACGCGCCACACCTGTTGGAGAACCATGGAGATAACGAACAAAATTGGCTTTGAATTTCATATTATTTAATGTAGTACGTGATTTGCCCTGACAAGCGTTGTTTAACTGATTAATGCATAATAAACATAGACGGTAGTCACTTCGGTCGAGAGTCGTCATTTCTGTCGACAAAGTAGTCGACAGAAGTGACAAATTTTAATCTACTTAAGTTAACACCTACAATTTAGAGGTAATAATATCCATTGTTGTTTCGGAACTATGTGAAACCTTTTTTCTACAAGGCTGTGTGTGGCGATTTATCATATATAACTGTATACTAGTCAGGCGATTTATTTTATCATGTTAGTAAACCTTTTATTTTTTCCTCTAAGAAGTGAGTCTTCAACTTTGACACACTTGTAGAACCTCTTTCAATTTAAAATTTTCAGCAGCTCGCTTTTGTTCCATCAAAAAATGTGATTAATCACTGGCAGGGTATGCACTAGTATTGCCATAAAAAGCAAAACAACGTTGAAATAATAAAGCGCTTATTACATTATCCAATTTTTAGAAAATCTAATTAGGAACCTAAATTGGAAGCTAGTGATCACATTACACTAAATTGAATTCTAAATCGTGACGAAGCACATTCGTAAAAGAAGTATCGACGGGGTTGCACGTTTGATCGATGGCGCCGTATTTATCAAAACAGCAGAAAATAGGACTTGCCTTAGCCGTGGTGGGAACAATGGATATTAAAAAAAGAAAAAGAATATGCTGGGTTAAGGAATACTTGTTATTGTATTTGTAAATATTTAACAACACCTTGAAGCCCTCTTCACGCATTGCTTTTTTTAAATAGTTTTCATCATTTTTATTATACAAATAGGGCATTTACCCTATACAGTTCTATAATTTGTAATAACACCTCTTTTTCTGTGGACATGCTGCCACACGAACCACTGCTCAATTCTGTCGCTTCACTCGGCATCGCAAACAAATGTCGCACGCGCAGTCAAGACATCCATTTAGGTCGAAGCGCGGGCGCCGACTGGCATTATATATTAGTCTATGCCGACTGGTCGTTCTAAATCGTAACGTTGCGATTACACTGTCCTAAATTGTAGACAATTTAGAAAGTAGAGCGGTCGGGACCTCCAACTTTAACTAAATCGGATCCTAACTGTTCTAACTATGATTACACTTTCCAACTTCCTAATTAGATTTCCTAAAAATTGAATAATGTAATAAGCGCTTAAGCTTTACTGATTCTAGTATTCAAAACTTTACATGTTGACAGTTGTGACAAAAAATTTATAACGCTTGTAGAAACATAAATATGTTTTATAATTGTGTGACATAATTTTTAAAAGTCTTTTAATCTTAATGTTAAGGACAGGTATCGTTTCAAAAATTATAAGGTTAGCTAGTAGCTTAAGAATTTCTATTTTTAAGTAGCCGTTAAACCTTCAGAGGGCGTCGGCGAACAGTCGACAGACACGTCACGTATTGTCGACACGTTTTTATTCATTAAATCATCACTTATCTACAAAATAATGAATGTCAATTATAGATGGTGATGTCCCATTTAATATCACAGCAAATAACGAATCACCAAGTCGTATTCATGAAGTTATATTACGCGAACATAAATTTCTCAGGTTCGTAGAATGACCCTAATGCGTCACATTGTGCCTTTAGAGCCTTTAGAGTTTTTGACGGCAACTTGAGCCAGCAGAGAGTTCGCGATAGTGTATCAAGGCACCTAAACACACAGACACCTTATCTTGAGATTCGCATCACTATAGGAGCACTTGTTGCACCGTTTTCACTAATAGTTCACTTGCGCAGATATGTAATACACAAAATCGCACCACTTTTACATATTTTAATCCAATTCAAACCAATAATCAAACAATAATACAGGAACAGCAATCCACCGCCGGTCAATTTCCAGCCAAAACTCCTCAAAACTAAAAACATGCTGCGTGGATCACAGAGTACATTAATTAACAGAATAAGTAATATGTTAATGCTATGTAGTTCAGCTCCGACCAAGAGATTAATCGATGGATCCAAATCAAGAAATTATGACATTACTTCTTATCCACTCTATTCCTCAAGGTCGAAAAAAGAAGTGTACGTGTTGAACACGACGTAGATGCGGTGGTGTTGGAGCCGGCTGAAATTTGACGTAGACCATATCCGCCGCTTCGGGTCAGGAAGGCTGATGCTTCCGAGTCCTCGTTTTTCCTGGCCCCATGGCCTTCACGTTTTGTACTCGTGGGGATCTGCTGCGCATGTTAAGTTGGAGGCCCAGTTGTCCTTTTCCGAAGAGGGGCTGCCATGGAGCGACAGTTTTACCATCAGACAAAGTAACTACATTTTTCATCATCATCATCATCATTACAGCCCTTTACAAGTCCACTGCTGAACAGAGGCTTCCCCCAAGGAATGCCACAAAGCACGGTCCTGAGTCACCTGCATCCATCGACTTCCTGCATATCTTACCAGGTCGTCACTCCATCTAGTGGGGGGACGCCCAACACTTCGCCTGCCGGTACGAGGCTGCCACTCGAGAACCTTTCTTCCCCATCGGTGGTCGGTTCGATGGTCCGGTCGATGTTGGACTTAACTATTCGGAGTATTCGTCCCAGGTCAACTACTCGCCAACAACTTCGAGCTTAGTGCTCCATACAACTAACGCCATAGG